TCTGATCTACTAAACAGATAACACTAGAAGTCGAGGTCTAAATCAACCCAGACAATCTGGGCTGTGGATTTAGGGTTGCCAACCTCCAGGGGGCACCTGGAGAGCCCGCTTTCTGTTAGAGTTGATCCGCAGATGACCAAGATCAGTACTCCTGGAGTAAATGGCTGTTATGGAGGGTGGACTGTATGGCATTATAGCCTGCAGAAGTCCCTCCTCTCCCTAAACCCCGCCCTCTTCAGGCTCCACCCCCAAAATCTCCAGGTATTTCCCAACCCAGAGCTGGGAAGCCTACATTGGCCTCCTGGTCTTCATTAAGGTTTTGCAGCCATGATCAGACTTCTTGAACAAAGTTTGAGTCCAGTGGCATCTTTAAGACCGACAAAGTTTAATTCTATTGCTTCGGAGCTACCCAGAATTCTTCTATCAGAATTCTTCTTACACTGTGCTTCTTTCTGGTGGTTCCCAAGCCTCCAAAATCCTAATCTGGAATTTACTGAATGTCCAATTTTGTGGATTGTACTGACTCACTCTCTTTAATCCCCCTGGAGTGCCTGTGAGAAAGATGGACTACATAGAACATAAATAATTAATATTCTCGTAATTATGCCTTTAAGAAACAGGGAAGGAATTCAAGGAGACCTTATTTTCTCTCACTGGATTCTGGAAGGGGCAGTAGACATCGTGTTTCAGGGCAGGGCTGCCTGGAAATAGTATGTCCCACTTTTCTGTGGCAGGGGCTGTTACTCTCAAGGGTGTGTGTGCTGTCCAAATATCTGGCTAAAGGAGCAGAATTTCTGGATAGAATATCAGGATTCAAATCCAGCCTTTCCCCCCTCCCTCCCATAGAAGCAAGTAGTGAAACAGTCACCATGGCAGAGAGCCTGGCCTAAACATGGCAGCTAAACTGAAACATAGCTGGATCGAGACAGGTAGCTGCGTTAGCAGTAGCAGTAGAAAAGAGCAAGAATCCAGCAGCACTTTAAAGACTAACAACATTTGTGGCAGGGGATGAGCTCTTGTGAGTCACTGTTCCCTTCTTCAGATAAAGCTAGAATGAGAGTCCATCTGTCCTTATATCTTGGAGAGTGGAGAGATTTCAGATGCTGAATGACAATAGCAGGCGAATTACAGTGCATCCTCCTGAACTGAATGGAGACCTAGGTTTCCTGTCTTATTACCAATGCTGATTTCTCCATGCCTACTACCCCCCTCTATATCACACCTAATCAAATCATACAATTGGATTAGGTGCGATTTGCAGAGGGGTAGTAGGCATGGATTGGATTAGGTGTGATTTTTGATATGTGATATTGTGTGGGTTAACTGTTTTCCTTGTGCTGTTTCTCTGGGAGAAATTGGCTCCTCTAAACTATAGCAGGGGAAAATGGCAGTCAAAACAAACTAGTGCTGAAGAGCAAAGGAGGTTTTCTCTGCAGAAGGCTCACATTCTCCCCTGCCCCAAATTGATTACCTGTAAACTTTAAGAACACAAGAAAAGCCCCTTTGGATCAGACCAGTGGTCCATCTAGTCCAGCATCCTGTCTCACACAGTACCCAATCAGTTCCTCTGGAGGGCCAGCAACACAGCAGATAGGCTGTGGCCTTCCTAAGAACATAAGAAGAACTCAACCAGTTCCTCTGGATGGCCAACAACAAGGCATAGTGGTCGAGGCCTTCATAAGAACATAAGTAGAGCCCTGCTGGATCAGACCAGTGGTCCATCTAGTCCAGCATCCTGTCTCACACAGTACCCAATCAGTTCCTCTGGAGGGCCAACAACAAGGCATAGTGGTCGAGGCCTTCATAAGAACATAAGTAGAGCCCTGCTGGATCAGACCAGTGGTCCATCTAGTCCAGCATCCTGTCTCACACAGTACCCAATCAGTTCCTCTGGAGGGCCAACAACAGGGCATAGAGGCTGACACCTTTTTCTTTCGCTTCAGACCAACATGGCTACCCCTTGAATCTAATTTTCGACAAGTTAGTGCAGTGCACCTGTGAACCAGACCTACAGAAAACTATGCTGGGCCCACAGATAACAAATCCACCCCCGACACATCTAAACATATGAGAGCCAATCACATGGTTTACAGGGCCCCCTTTGGCCAACAGTCCCTAGAACAGGGCCCCCTTTGGCCAACAGCCTTGTGCACAAAGGAGGGGCTGTGGCTCAGTGGAAGAGCATCTGCTTGGCATGCAGAAGGTCCCAGGTTCAACCCCCAGCATCTCCAGTTAAAAGAACCAAGCAGTAGGTGATGTGAAAGACCTCTGCCTGAGACCTTGGAGAACCACAGCCAGTTTGAGTAGACAATATGCACCTCGATGGACCAGGGGTTTGCTTTAGTATGAGGCAGCTTCTTGTGTGTTTGCATGTGAGTGTTCTGAGTTCAAATGCTGCCTCTACCATGAATCTCCTCAGTGGCCAACCAGTTCCTCTGGAGGGCCAACAACAAGGCATAGTGGTTGAGGCCTTCATAAAAACATAAGAAGAGTCCTACCAGATCAGACCAGCTGTCCATCTAGTCCAGCATCCTGTCTTACACGGTGACCAACCAATTCCTCTGGAGGGCCAACAACAGGCTGACACCTTTTTCTTTCGCTTCAGACCAACATGGCTACCCCTTGAATCTAATTTTCGACAAGTTAGTGCAGTGCACCTGTGAACCAGACCTACAGAAAACTATGCTGGGCCCACAGATAACAAATCCACCCCCGACACATCTAAACATATGAGAGCCAATCACATGGTTTACAGGGCCCCCTTTGGCCAACAGTCTTGTGCACAAAGGAGGGGCTGTGGCTCAGTGGAAGAACATCTGCTTGGCATGCAGAAGGTCCCAGGTTCAACCCCCAGTATCTCCAGTTAAAAGAACCAAGCAGTAGGTGATGTGAAAGACCTTTGCCTGAGACCATGGAGAACCGCAGCCAGTCTGAGTAGACAATATGCACCTTGATGAACCAGGGGTTTGCTTCCCTCATTCCGTTTGGGAATGAGGATGAAGCAGGAGGGTAAGTAGCCGGGCCTTCTGACACACTTCCGGTGATGTTAGGGGGTGTGGCCTTCTGTCACTTCCGGTGATGTCAGGGGGCGTGGCATATGCAAATAAGTTATGCTAATGAGTTATGCTAATGAGCTCCGGCAGCTCTTTTTCTACAACAAGACCCCTGCCTACAACATCCCCGAAAGATGGTCCTCCAGCCTCCGCTTGAAAACGTCCAGCGAAGGAGCATCCACCACCTCCCGAGGCAGTCTGTTCCACTGGGATGTCCTTTTTGTCACTGGTCTGTCCCTATCGCTTCAGGGTATTTTCTCCCCAATGTGTTTTGCTGTAGTCCCAGAGGGAGCAAAACACATGTGGAAAGGGGTGGGGGGGATGGGACACCCAAAGCAATAGGGACAAGGTAAAAGGTAAAGGTTCCCTTGCTCGAAAGCCAGTCGAATCCGACTCTAGGGTTGCGGTGCTCATCTCCGTTTCAAAGCCGAAGAGCCAGCGCTGTCCGAAGATGTTTCCGTGGTCATGTGGCCGGCATGACTAAACACCGAGGCGCATGGAACGCTGTTACCTTCCCACCAAAGTGGTACCTATTTATCTACTTGCAATTTCTTGCTTTCGGACTGCTAGGTTGGCAGGAGCTGGAACTAGAGATGGGAGCTCACTCCATCATGCGGCACCCGGGTCTCGAACTGCTGAACTACCGACCTTCCACAGCCTGCAGTTCAGCGTCTTAACCACTTGAGCCGCCGCAGCTCCTTAATAGGGACAAACCAGTGACCAACATGACAGTCCGGAAGTGGCCAAATCAGCCAGATATCACCGACGCCGTTTTGGATGTATGCTGGTATCAGCACTCCTCGCTCGGAAATCTAACCTAGGGCTGTAACTGTGTATGACCACAGCCTTCTTGCACTTTGGGATCAGGGGAAACACTTCCCCGTCGTTTGAATCCTAACATGGAGGGGGGGGGGGAGTCCTGTTGCTCTGCAGGCCGAGAGCAAACAAAGATCCCCTTCCCCGCCCTCCCCGAGGTCCAGGCCTCACCGACTGAGCGACAGGGAGCATATGGGGAGGGCGTCGAAGACAAAGGGGGAGCGCCGCTGGTAGGAGAGGGCTCCGTGCCGTCAGGGGGCGGCACACTGGCCGCATTGTTGAAGAAGGGCTCGGATGGCTGCTGGCCTGCCGAGGAATCTGCCAAGAGACAGCCGCGGGAGGGAGGGCCCGCCGCACGGACTGTTTAGTTAAATCGGGAGGAGGAGGAGGAGGACTGCTGGGAAAGGCACCGCGCTGGAACGATCCGCACCGTCGCGGGGAGGGGGAGGGTGTGTGTGTGTGTGGGGGAGTCCTAACATCCAGTTCTGTCTCCAGGCTCCGGAAAGCAAGACAGAAGCGTTTGGTTTTACTCATCGGCATCCATGTCTTAGGAGCTGCGGTGGCTCAAGTGGTTAAGAGGCTGAGCTGCGGTGGCTCAAGTGGTCAAGACGCTGAACTGCAGGCTGTGGAAGGTCGGTACTTCAGCAGTTCGAGACCCGAGTGTGCCGCATGATGGAGTGAGCTCTCTAGTTCCAGCTCCTGCCAACCTAGCAGTTCGAAAGCAAGAAATTGCAAGTAGATAAATAGGTACCACTCCAGTGGGAAGGTAAGAGTGTTCCGTTCCGTACACCTTGATGTTTAGTCATGCTGGCCACATGATCACGGAAACGTCTTCGGACAGCGCTGGCTCTTCGGCTTTGAAATGGAGATGAGCACCGCAACCCTAGAGTCGGATTCGACTCGAGCAAGGGAACCTTTACCTTTACCTATCCATGCCTTACAAAGACAGGATTCCTGATAGAAGAAGAAGAAGAGATTGGATTGATACCCCGCCCTTCACTACCCAAAGGTGTCTCAGAGCGGCTTACAAACTCCTCTCCCTTCCCCTCCCCACTCAGCGCTTGAGAAAATGCTTCCCGTCCGGGACGGGATTCGCTCCGGCAAAGTCGGCTTCGAATGGAAACAGGTTATGCTCAGCCCCTCCGGGTACCTAGAAGGTGCAGCATCCGACTGAGAGCCTTCAGTCATTCTTCCTATTTATGTATTTTATTTAAACCCTGCTTACAACGCCCTTCTCCCCCTAGGGATGCCAGCCTCCAGGTGGCACCTGGGGATCCCCTAAAATCACAGCTCATCTCCAGACTACAGAGATCAGTTCCCCTGAGGGAAATGGATGCCTTGGAGGGTGGACTCCGTGGCATTGTACCCCCCACTGAGGTCCCTGGCCTCCCCAGGCGCCACCCCCAAATCTCCAGGAGCTTCCCAGCCTGGATCAGGCAAACCTATCCCCCCATCCCACGCAGGTGGCCGGGGGGAGCTGGCAACTCTCTTCCACTTTGTTCTCTCGTCAAGCATGTTGGGAGACAGGGTTAGGCAGAGAATGAGTGAGGGTGCCTGACCTGCCCAAGGTCCCCCAGTTAGCTCCCATGGCAGAGTGGGGCTTTGAACCCGGGTCTCCGAGATCTAGTCTGACACTCTCACCAATGCACCAGTTTAGAGATCCAGCTCACGATGAAGAACCGCTACAACAGCTAACATCATACTTACTTATGGCGGCACAAACCACCATCGCAGCAGCCTGGAAGTCACCAAAGTCTCCAAGTTTAGAGGCCTGGAGAAATAAAGTGTGGGAACAATTCCTGATGGACAAGATAAGTGACACTTTAAATATAGCTCAAACGAATCTTTGTACAACAAAATCATTCTTTGAGCGCACCTGGTCCCCCTACCTTCAATATATGACTGAGAAGGATTTACTTCCAAACAATCCGGCCTATGCTTCTTGGTTATGCTTTTGAATATAAAATAGTATAACATACCCCAGTATTACAAACTCTGCACTGTATATAACAATATAGCCTTTATCAGTATCCTCATAACAAGAGTTTTTAATCGATATATATTAGTAACGATATTTTTTAAGTGCTCTTGGATTTAGACGTCTATGTAGTTAGAATTTTTTAAAGCAAAGTGTTTACTGTTTGGTATTTATACTCTGCTTGGATTTGGTATTTTTGATGTAGTATTAAAATTTTTAATTTAAAAAAAAAAAAAAAAACCAATGCACCAGTTTTAATTCTTGAACACATACACGAATACAGCCATCAGCAATCTCAAACCGTGTTCAGATGTTTTAATCTGTTGTATCACTTGGCTAAATCAGAAGTGTAAGGAGGTTTGAATTTTCCATATAAGAACATAAGAAGAGCCCTGCTGGATCAGACCAGTGGTCCCTCTAGTCCAGCATCCTGTCTCACACAGAGGCCAACCAGTTCCTCTGGAGGGCCAACAACAGGGCATAGAGGCCGAGGCCTTCCTAAGAACATAAGAAGAGCCCTGCTGGATCAGACCAGTGGTCCCTCTAGTCCAGCATCCTGTCTCACACAGAGGCCAACCAGTTCCTCTGGAGGGCCAACAACAGGGCATAGAGGCCGAGGCCTTCCTAAGAACATAAGAAGAGCCCTGCTGGGTCAGCCCAGTGGTCCATCTAGTCCAGCATCTTGTCTCACACAGTGGCCAACCAGTCCCTCTGGAGGGCCAACAAAAAGGCATAGGGGCCGAGGCCTTCCCCTGATGTTCCCTCCTGGCTCTGGGATTCACAGCCTTAGTGCCTCTGAGTGTGAAAGTTCCGCTCAGTCACCACGCCTAGTTTCCATCGATAGACTTTTCTTTCACGAATTTGTCTAATCCCCTTTAAAAGCTGTTTATTCCTGTGGCCATCAGGACATCTTCTGGCAGCGAAGTCCACATCTTAATCACTCTCTGTGCAAAGGAGTTCCATAGGTCATCCTGTGTCCTTGGTTGTTTATGACCAAGTGTTTATTCCATCAGTTGGTGTCCTAACCTGATATACTAAAGCCACCAAATCTCTAGGCCTTCATACCCTGCTCTGGCTTCAGTTTACAGGGCTCGGCAGTATCCCTTGTCAGCTTGTTTCCTTTTGCACAGGGAGGTCTGACACTACTCCAGCTCAATGAGTTTGACTGTGTCAGTCCTGCAAGATGTCACAACAGCTATTGTATACTATATTCCGCTTCTGGGATGGCAGAAGGTTGGGTCATTTGTATCATAATGAATTCAGATTCAGGTGGGTAGCCTGAAGGAACAGAACAAAGTTTGATTCCAGTAGCACCTTGAAGACCAACACAGTTTAATTCTGGGTATAAGCTTTCGTATGCATGCACTCTTCTTCAGAGACGTGTGCATGCACACGAACACTTATACCCAGAATTAAACTTTGCTGGTGTGACCTTGGGTCAGTCATAACCAATGTTCCCTCTAAAGTGTGGAGTCCTGTGAGCAAAAATTCTACTTTGTGAGTAACTGGCATTAAAGCTGTGAGCAATCAATTTGGCTACTGCATAAATTAGCTTGCTCTGGAGCCCTCCTTCCTGACCGAAGACAAAAATGTGTGAGCCGGAGGCTAAAAAACGGTGAGCTAGCTCACACTAACTCAGCTTAGAGGGAACACTGGTCATAAGGTCTTTCAGAGCTGTTCTCTCAAAGGCAGTTCTCGGGAGAGCTCTCTCAGCCCCCATCTACCTCACAGGGTGTCTGTTGTGGGGAGGGATTGTAAATTCCAAGACTCCTTCGAGTAGTGAAGGGTGGCGTATAAATCCAGTCTTCTTCTTCTTCTTCTGCCACTGGACTCAAACTTTGTTATAATGATAGATCAAGGTGGGTAGCCGTGTTGGTCTGAAACAATGGAACAAAGCTAGAGTCCAATGGCACCTTTAAGACCAACAGAGCTCACACCTTGAATAAAACTTTGTTATAATGAATTCAGTTGGCCTCATTCTTCCTCTGAGAAACTAAGAGGGCTATCCTGTGGAGAGCTGAGCAAGTGGGCTTGGACTGGGAGTAGCTCTGGATAGGACTGCACCATAAATTGCTTGCCTGTGGTTCAGAGAATCCTTTCAGAGAGGTTTCAGGGCTTCCCCGATGGAGCTTTAGCAATAGGATGCGCTACCTTGCTTCCATGAGGAGTTCCAACCCCCTGCTTCTTGCAGTGGGCACCCTTCTCTCCTGTTTGAGAAGGCTCTGGGAGGGGCTTGGTTTACCTCTACTCCCTCCTCTGTTCAAGGGCCCCCCCCACTGTTATCCACCTCATAGGGTTGCCAACTTCCAGGTGAGTCCTGGAGATCTCCCACTTTTACAGCTGGTGTCCAGGTGACAGAGTTCCGTTCCCCTGGAGAAAATGGCTGCTTTGGAGGGTGGCCTCTTTGGCATTGTACCCTGCTGGGGTCCCTCCCCTCCCCAAACGCCTCCCTCTCCAGGCTCCATCCCCCAAATCTCCAGGTATTTTCCAATCCAGGGCTGGCAACCCTATCCACCTGCCTCCAGTATAACTCTCTGTAGGTATGTCTCTGGTTGACAAAAGCAGTCATCTAGAAGAGAAGAAGAGACTGGATTTATACCCCACCCTTCACTGCCGAAGGAGCCTCCATGCAGCTTGCAATCTCCTTTCCCTTCCCCTCCCCACAACAGACACCCTGTGTTCCCTCTAAGCTGAGTTAGTGTGAGTTAGCTCACAGTTTTTTAGCTTCTGGCTCACACATTTTTGTCTTAGCTCATGAAGGACAGCCCCAGAGCAAACTAATTTATGCAGCAGCCAAATGGCTCACTCACAACTTCAATGCCAGTAGCTCACAAAATAGAATTTTTGCTCACAAGACTCCACAGGTTAGAGGGAACATTGCAGGCTGTGAGGTAGGTGGGGCTGAGAGAGCTCTCTCGAGGACCGCTCTGGAGAGAACAGCTCTGACAGAACTTGTGATTGACCCAAGGTCACACCAGCAGCTGCATGTGGAGGAGTGGGAACTCAAACCCGCTTCTCCCAGATTAGAGTCCACGCTCTTAACTACTACACCAAACTGCCTCTAGTTTCCAGCTCTTCATTGCTTTCCTGATCTTGGTTGCTTCCACACAGAGCTTGCCCTCTCTGTGCCTCTGAATCATCTCATTTTTAAATTTTGGCTTTCACCAATCTGCTGGGTTTTCCCTGGGTCAGCTATGGGTTCTCCCAAACCAGGGATGGCCTAAGGATTCTTGTTGCCCTCCGTGCCCAAGTCAAACTACAGCTGCCCTAATAGCCCTCTCCCATCAGAGCTCGGAAGCTAAGCAGGGTCGGCCCTGGTCAGTGCTTGGATGGGAGGCAACCAAGGAAGTCCAGGGGTGTCTATGCAGAGGCAGGCAAGGGCAAACCACCTCTGCTCATCTGTGCCCTGACCCGGATGACCCAGGCTAGCCTGGTCTTGCCAGATCTCGGAAGATAAGTAGGGCTGGCTCTGGTTAGTTCTTGGGATGGGAGACCACCAAGGAAGTCCAGGGGTTGCTATGCAGAGGCAGGCAATGGCGAACCACCTCTGCTCATCTGTGCCCTGACCCGGATGACCCAGGCTAGCCTGGTCTTGCCAGATCTCGGAAGATAAGTAGGGCTGGCTCTGGTTAGTTCTTGGGATGGGAGACCACCAAGGAAGTCCAGGGGTTGCTATGCAGAGGCAGGCAATGGCGAACCACCTCTGCTCATCTGTGCCCTGACCCGGATGACCCAGGCTAGCCTGGTCTTGCCAGATCTCGGAAGATAAGTAGGGCTGGCTCTGGTTAGTTCTTGGGATGGGAGACCACCAAGGAAGTCCAGGGGTTGCTATGCAGAGGCAGGCAATGGCGAACCACCTCTGCTCATCTGTGCCCTGACCCGGATGACCCAGGCTAGCCTGGTCTTGCCAGATCTCGGAAGATAAGTAGGGCTGGCTCTGGTTAGTTCTTGGGATGGGAGACCACCAAGGAAGTCCAGGGGTTGCTATGCAGAGGCAGGCAATGGCGAACCACCTCTGCTCATCTGTGCCCTGACCCGGATGACCCAGGCTAGCCTGGTCTTGCCAGATCTCGGAAGATAAGTAGGGCTGGCTCTGGTTAGTTCTTGGGATGGGAGACCACCAAGGAAGTCCAGGGGTTGCTATGCAGAGGCAGGCAATGGCGAACCACCTCTGCTCATCTGTGCCCTGACCCGGATGACCCAGGCTAGCCTGGTCTTGCCAGATCTCGGAAGATAAGTAGGGCTGGCTCTGGTTAGTTCTTGGGATGGGAGACCACCAAGGAAGTCCAGGGGTTGCTATGCAGAGGCAGGCAATGGCGAACCACCTCTGCTCATCTGTGCCCTGACCCGGATGACCCAGGCTAGCCTGGTCTTGCCAGATCTCGGAAGATAAGTAGGGCTGGCTCTGGTTAGTTCTTGGGATGGGAGACCACCAAGGAAGTCCAGGGGTTGCTATGCAGAGGCAGGCAATGGCGAACCACCTCTGCTCATCTGTGCCCTGACCCGGATGACCCAGGCTAGCCTGGTCTTGCCAGATCTCGGAAGATAAGTAGGGCTGGCTCTGGTTAGTTCTTGGGATGGGAGACCACCAAGGAAGTCCAGGGGTTGCTATGCAGAGGCAGGCAATGGCGAACCACCTCTGCTCATCTGTGCCCTGACCCGGATGACCCAGGCTAGCCTGGTCTTGCCAGATCTCGGAAGATAAGTAGGGCTGGCTCTGGTTAGTTCTTGGGATGGGAGACCACCAAGGAAGTCCAGGGGTTGCTATGCAGCGGCAGGCAACGGCAAACCACCTCTGCTCACCTCTTGTCCCAAAATCCCAAGGAGGTGGGACTTCACGGGGTCGCCAGAAGTCGGTTGCAACTTGATGGCATACTTTAGGCGAACTATGTTTGATGCCCCTCCCAACATTCAATACAGAGAGAAATGAAAAATGCTCTTTACCTTTATGTATTTGGCATTTGAAATCAATAATGTAAAGATAAACACAGGAATCCACTTTCGTCTCATCTGGCACCTCTGAAAGCTCGGTGCCCTAAGTATCTGCCTCGTTCCACCTATATGGTCAGGCCAGTCATGTTCCAAACCTGCCTTCGTAAATCTTTCCTGAAAGCTTGAAAGGAAGAAGGTTCAAGGGACGTGTGAAAGAGGAAGTTTGCCGCATCTCCCTGCCCACATCTGGAGTCACATCTGCCACCCCCACTTTATTTCTGGTGAGCTTGTTCTCTCCCCTCCTTCAGTTTTTGGGTATAGGTGTATTATGATGGAATGTGCGGTCCAGTCACAGCCAACCTCGGGCGACCCCGTAGGGTTTTCAAGGCTAGAGGCATTATGGGGTGGTTTGCCATGGCCTGCCTCTGCGTAGCAACCCTGGACTTCCTCGGTGGTCACTCATCCAAATACTGAACTGGGCCGACCCTGCTTAGCTTTCCAGATCTGACGCAATCGGGCTATCCAGGCTTTGCTCCAGTGTTAAAGCCCAGCAAAAGCCCGCTAGAATTGAAGGGGGGGAAATAGCGAGAGGGGAAAGCAAGCCCCATGATAAAACTCCAGTGATGTCCTTGCATTTGCAGTAGCCAAGGGAGGGGAACAGGCCATCTCCCTCCATACGGAAGCAGCCTCGGTCCCGATCCAACCGTGGTATGACCACCGGTCATGTTTCCAGCGCAGTCACATTCTTCGAGTCGGAGGGAGTTCTCTAATTGCCATGCAGGAAGCCAGATGCTCCCATGTTTTGACACGAGAAATCATCGCATAATTATACCGTATCATGACTCCCACTTTAGCAGGAAACCTGCTGGATGCCTAGGAGGGCTGTGTGGAGTTACAGCTAATCTGGCTGTCATCGTTCAGGGCTGCATTTATTAATCCCATGTTAATTAGGCTGGGAGAGGCTGTTCATCAGAGGCAAGGGCCGGGAGGGATGCAGGAGGCTGGGTTCCCCAGAGGCCGGAGGGAGCCAGCGTGGTGTCCTGGTTAGGGTGTCCCCCCCGGATCTGGGAGACCAGGTTCAGGTGCTCGCTCTGCCATGGGTGCTTGCTGGGCGACCTTCAGCTGGTCGCACTCAAAACTCACTTGCCTCACAGGGCTGTGGCGGTGAGAACAAAATGGTGGCGCAGAGAACGGTGTAAGCCACTTTGGATTCCCCGTGAGGAGAAAAGTGGGGGTATCGACGGTATTTTTGGGCAGGAACGCACAAGAACGGAGTTCCGGCTGGCTTCAGAGTTGGCCACGCCCACTACAGCCAAAACCTCTGAGCGCGTGGCTACAGAGGGAAGGCCTGGAGAGCGACCCCCCTGTTGACTCTGAGGTGGGAGGGCCAGGGGGCCCCCAGGAAGGATTGGGGAAGCATTTAAATGCCTCCCTGTGCCTTCCCTGGTCTGTCCAAGGGCCAGCTTGCTGGGGAGGGCTGCCAAGTGGGGGTGGGGAAACCCCCGCTTTGGAGGCCCGATTTCCACCGCGGCAGAATCGGGCCACGGGGGGAACTCCGCCCCCCAAAGCTGCGTCACCAGAGGTGACGCAGCCACATCGCTCACGTTGGGGGTGTGGCCCAGATCGTTGGGGGAAAAAACATATGGTTTCCCCCCCGACGATCTGGGCCACACCCCCAACGTGAGTGACGTCGCACGTCACTTCTGTTGATGTGCTGGTGGCGCGCACGCGCGCATCCGGAGCCGGCTCCTGGAGCCGGCAGAGCCTCCCCCGCCAGTGAGTATAAAGGAACTTGGCAACCCTATGTGGGGCGCCTCGGCAAGCCAAGGGAAGGCACTTTAAACTGCCTTCTCTTCCCTTTAAGGGGGGAGGGCTTGCCCAGGCAAGCCAAAGAAAGGCATGGGGGTGTGGCCTAATATGCGAATGAGCTGCACTGTCGTGGGTGTGGCCTAATATGCTAATACATTTCTGCTGTTGGGTGTGGTCTATTATGCTAATGAGTTCCTGCTGGGCTTTTTCGACAAAAAAAAGCCCTGTCGATAAATAAACAAAAAAGTGTGTGCCGAACAATTTAAGGTGGGGGGGTCAAGTGGATCTAGGGTTGTACACCTCCATTTGGGGCCTGGAGATGTTCTGTTTTTACAGCTGATCTCCAGACTACAGAGATCAGTTCCCCTGGAGGAAATGGATGCTTTGGAGGGTGGGCTTTGTGGCATTGGACCCTGCTGTGCTCAACCGCCTCCTCAAAGCCTGGCCCCTCCAGGCTCCACCTCTACAATCTCCAGGGTCAGCCCCCCAAACCCTGCCCTCTCTAAGCTCCTAAAATTATCCAGGCTCCCCCCCAAAAAACCTCAGAGCTGGCAACCACAAGCGGATCTGAATGTTATGTTGGTTCAAAACAGCCAGCTAAATTTTTGGCTGTTCAACATTGCTTGTTTGTGTAGTAATATGGCAGCCGAAGGAGAGAGATGGGGTCTTTGTCTCAGCTTGAAAGCTATTCCTTTACCTAACTAGGGTTGCCAAGTCTATCTTCGCCGGGAGCGGGGGGCTCCCGGCCAGCGTCTTGTGTGTGTGTGCACGCGCGAGCGCCGCACGCACGTCACCCGGAAGTGACAGGAGGATGCCAGGCATGCTGGGGGCGGGGTCACAGCCATACAAGGGAAAACCCCCGCCCCAGAGGCCCGTTTCCCAGCGCCGCCGGATCAGGCCCTGGGGGGAACTCCACCCCAGCGTGCCCAGCGTGCCCGCATCACTTCCGGGTGACGCGCACGTTGGGGTGGAGTTCCCCCCAGGGCCCGATTTGGCGCCGCCAGGGAACGGGCCTCTGGGGCGAGGGTTTCCCCGCCCCCCGGGGGGACTTGGGATCCCTATACCTAACAGATATCTACAAGAGCCACTTTGGTGTAGTGGTTAAGAGTGGCAGACTCTAATCTGGAGAACCAAGTTCTCTTCTCTGCTTCCCACATGAAGCCAGGTGGGTGACCTTGGGCCAGTCACAGTTCTCTCAGAGCTCAGCCCCTAAAAACAAGTCTAGCTCACCACCTAATGGGGCATAATGCTAAGAACTAGAACCTGTGGCTGCCAGACAATCTTTGGATCTCCTGGCTATTCTACACACAATGCCACATGATAATAAGTATTATTATGACAGATATCTGTGATAGGAAGTTTTCACTGGTATTAAAAAAAAATTGAGTCCAGTAGCACCTTAAAAACCAACAAGATTTCCTGAGTGTAAGCTTTCATGGAGTCAAAACTCCATTCAGATCTGAGGAAAGGAGTCTTGGTTCTCGAAATTCTTCTGAATCTTGTTGGTCTCTAAGGTGCTACTGAATTCGAATCCAGCTCTTCCGCTGCAGACCAACACGGTTACCCATGTGAAACTTTAAAAATAAAAGATTATTAATTCTTGATTAAAAATCCCAAACTCCCAAGAAGAACACACAATCTGTGGAAATACTTTACTCCTAAAAGGACAAAAGGAAAGAGCTGTTACTTGATACGGTATTTTCCAGGTGCCTTTCAAAGGGTCTAAGGAATCGCTAAACCTTTATTTACGGAATCTTTCCCTCACCCTTTCCCCAGAACTAAAGAACGGCTAAGATTGCCTAGATGAGGACAAATCCGCTGCTTGCCAGTGGGTGGGGGAGACCGTAAAGAGACTAGATTTCAAAATCTTACCATAAAGAAAAAACAAATAGCTTTAATTGCTTTGATTCCCCCCTTCCTGGCTAGCTGATGGGAAATGCTGTAGCTTTTGTTTCTTGGAACGTAGCCATTCAGTTTCACAATTAAACTATTGGCTAGGAACTCGACAATTCTTCCTTTGGAAGTTAGATCGTATTTCCAAAGGAGATTGTGTTCATAGCCTTGTTCTTTGCCGGACTTCCAGATGTCCCTTATTCTAGAAGTGCTCGTCTCCATTACCGCTGAACACTGGGTTTCAAACTGTGGCAGCTTCCGCACTAGGAACGTTTCCTCATTGTGAACTCACAGCTGATGCATTTGCACAAGCAAAGGAGCATCTGTGCCAACTGATAGTCTACCTTTTCTCCGTAAAGACAGATTCAGGTAGGTAGGTGTGTTGGTCTGAAACAGAAGAACAAAGTTTGAGTCCAGTGGCACCTTGAAGACTGACAAAGTTTCATTCAAGGTATACACTTTTGTGGACATATACGCTTCTTCAGATACAACTTTATTACGCTGTATGCTAATTTGCTGCTCACCCTCTACCTATCTATATGGACTGGCAACTTCCACTTCAATGATTCAATGTCGCATATAGATACACATGTAGCTTCTGCTTTCCAAAGCCTTCTAAAAAATGTTCTATGTGCCTCATGGATTGCCCAAAAGGCATAGGTACTGAAATACGTGTTTGCCATGTGGGGCGGTGTGTTGTGTCAGCGAAAGTGCAGGAACTGAGGTGGAAACACTTTACTAGATTTCGGATTGGCTGCAGCTGCAAATAAAACATTCTCGCACAAGCGGATGTAGAAACAGCCTTTCCTTTGGGAGAGGGGGACATGAAAGCAAGGCAGTTCAAAGTTAAGGCGTTGGATATCACGGCTGACTTTTCCGACTAGTGTGGACCAATGAGAAGGCAGCTGCCCGACCCTTAGAATGGCCTGCTCTTGCAAAGTTTGACTTGGCCACTGTTTTAAGATGGTGGCTTTCAAACAATTGACATGGAGCCGGCAACGGACCCCGAGTGTTTAATGGCACAGCCCCTAGCGGAGTTCTTTATTTAGTCTGTTTAAGCCATGTTGATTTGCAGTAGAAGATCTAGATTCGAATCCAGTACCACCTTAGAGACCAACAGTATTTATTTCCTGGATATAAACGTTCAAGAGTCAACGCTCCCTCAGACAGACAAACTGCGCGTTGACTCTCGAAAACTGATACCCTGAAAATCTCATTGGTCACTAGGATGCTACTGGGCTCGGTTTAGTCTGAAATGTGTTTTTTTTAATATTAAGTTTTAAACATACCTTGGTGCTTGTGTGTGGAACGGTGTAGTGTAATGGGTAACGTGCTAGAGTCTGACCTGGAATACCTGGGTTGGAATCTCCGCTCAGTCATGACTGAGTGGCCTTGGGGCAAGCCCTCCCATTCCCTACTTTATAGGGTTGTTGGGGACAAGATGGATGCCAATCTGAGGGGAAAGATGAGGCGCAAATACATTTCTTACTGAAGTAGAACTGGGCATGTCACCTTTACAGACTTATTTAATATATCAAAGCAACGAAATCCCTTTAATGTCTTTCATGCTCTGCTGACGCTTGACTTGCCATTGCTCTAAGGAAAGCGAAAGAGAATTTTTGTAAAAAGAATAAAGCGTTACGGTTTTTTGAGCGGTGTCTGACTGCTACCGACTCAGACCGGTGGCCCTCAAATGGTAGAGCAGGAGGCATCCTGGGGTAGGCCAGCCTGGTTAGACTGTCAGACCAGGACTGGGGAGTTCTGGGTGCGAATCCTCACTCTCTCATTCCTGAAGCTGACTAGTGAAATGCAGCCAGTCCTTATTTATCAGCCTCAGTTACCTCACAGTATACGTCACAGGGGGAAGGGCTGTGGCTCACCTGGAGAAAGTGGCTGCTTTAGAAGGTGGACTGTATGGCATTAGACCCCATTGAAATCCCTCCCCTCCCAAAACCCTGCACTATTCAAGGTCCACTCCCAAAATCGTCAGGTATTTCCCAACCTGAAACTGGCAACCCTAACTATATTATCAACCAGCTGCAGTGTGTGTCAATAGCTGATGGTGCAACAGATGGAGTGCACTTAGCATTCATGCACATGTATTTACACTAGGTCCCTCCTGGCAACTGGTTTGGGGGGGGGGGGCTTACCAACAGAAGCAGGGAGGCCCAGCCTTCATACAGTGACATGTCTACATCACTGCCCATGTGACCTGGAAGTGACACTATTACTTCCAGGATGTTGGGGGTGACATTCTGGTATCTGGGCAAAAACTCTATGGTAAATTTTGCTTCTACCATAGGGTTTTGCCCAAATACCACAGTGTCCTCCCTGATGTCCCGGAAGTGATGGCGTCACTTCTGGGTCATATGGGTAATGACACTGGATCTCTCTCTTTTTCTGGGTGAGTTCCCCCACCGGCCAGCTGATCACCAGGGGATCTGGCAACCCTAATTTCCAACCATGTGCATTAGGCACCAAATACGTCTTCCTCCTGCTAGAGATGGAATGGCCAAGAGTGAAGCCTGAAAAATGGCAACTCTAGCAATTTATCCTAACCATTAAAAAAAAAAAAAAGACACCCCCAAATCTTCCCAACGTGGCAAATGGAGACTGATCTACTAGTCCTTTCCACCAGCAGATGCTTGTATTACAATTTCAAGGAGGCGAACTTGGCAGACCTCTTAAATATACATATTCATGTCTGGTGAAACAAAATCCTGTAATCTAGATACAAATCAGAGAAGGGTGTTATTGGGGAAAGTTTCTCCTGGAAGGTAATCCGAAACGGTGCTCCTTCCTTCCTGTCTTGCAAGCTGTGACGGATGGGGGTGCTTTGAGCAGCCATATGGCGGTGTCAGAAATGTTATTGGGGGGGGGGGGGATCTCAAAGGAGGCCATTGCCAGAGAAGAGGGGAAATGGAAATCGTGTGATTATCAGAAACTGTATCTCTGACCAGGAAGAAACTAGAGCCAATTCTACTTCATTCCTAATTTTGCTTTGTGACGTTCTGTAGTTGAGACTCAAAGAATATTGTGTCTGTTAAGTGCTGTTGAGTCACAGCCGACTTATGGCGACCCCAAAGGGTTTTCAAGGAAAGAAACTAACTAAATCCAATGGTTTGCCATTGACTGCCTCTGCATAGCAACCCTGAACTTCCTTGGAGGTTTCCCATCCAAATGCTAACTGACTACAGCCAACCCTGCTTAGCTTCTGAAATCTGAGGAGATCGGGCTAGCCTGGGCCATCCAGGTCAGGAACAAAGAATATTAGGGAGCAAATTTATCTCCCCCTTGCTAAAAGAAACATCCCCCCCCCCCGCCCTGGACCTGAGACTAAAACTTGCTGGAATGTGAATGCCACTGAATGTGAAGTGCCTGGTATGACAGACCCCTGCTTCTTCTTCACTGTGAGCAGGGGTAATTTCCTGCAGGAGTGCACAGGAGCGGAGCTCCGGCAGTAAAGAGCCCAGGGGGCGGGCACATGCAACAAGTCCCGCCCCCTGCTCCCAGCAGCCCTCAGTCAGAGCAAGAAGCAGCCAGGTAAGTTGCAGACCCCCCCGGCCCCCCGGTCCAAAACAGTCCAATGGCACCTTTAAGACCAAGTTTTATTCAGGTACAAGCTCTCCCTCCTCTGCGAGGACAGATCTGCACGCGCGCCCCCCCCCCAAATAGCTAGCAATCCAAAATAGTCCAGTGGAGCCTGAGTGGTGGGTGTTGCCTTCTGACACACTTCCGGTGATGTCAGGGGGTGTGGCATATGCAAACAAGTTATGCTAATGAGCACCTGCACCTCTTTTTCTATGGAATGACCCCTGACGGTGAGGCAGATTTTCCTGCCAAAAATGCTGTTTCCCACTCTGAATGAGCAGCCTCTTAGTAGTGTATTTGAATTATAGAATTACTAGGAGTAAGGCTCGTTGTGGGAAGAAATACAACGAACTCTAGAAGGAAGCTCCAGGTGAGTGTCCCGGCTGTGGCTGGTGGGGCGGCAGAGGGAAGCGGAAAATGGAGGGAGGCAAGCCATGTTTCTTTCCTTCTGCTTAGCTATAAGGCAGGGCTGCCTCAAGTCATTTTGCTGCCCCAAGTGGGTAGTATGGGAGGACAGCCTCATGGTAACAGGTACGGTTCTCTCCACCCCTGACTTACGTTGTTGATTTGAGGCTATGCAGTGACAGCTAAGGTAGAAAAGCACCTCCTCCTATGCCATGTCTTCTGGCTTCCAAGGGTCTAGAAAGCGGTTCCATAGCCAGTTACAGGGTTACCAACTCTGGGTTGGGAAATACCTGTAGATATGAGCGGTAGAGCCTGGGGACGGCAGGGTTTGGGGTGTGGAGGGATATAATTCCATAGAGTCCATTGCCCAAAGCAGCCATTTTCTCAAGGAGAACTGATCTTGGAGATCTCCAGGTGCTGGCCTGGAGGCTGGCAATACTACGAGGAGGGGCAGACCTGTAGATTTGAGGGGTAGAGCTTAGGTCATCTGGACATCAGTTGTAATAGCTGGAGATCTCCAGGTGCTGCCTGGAGGTTGGCTTATGTTAATTTGGGGCTATGCAGTGGCAGGTAAGGTAGAAAACCACCTCCTCCTATGCCATGTTTTCTGGGTTCCAAGGGTCTGGAAAGTGGTTCCATAGCCAATTACACGATTGCCAACTCTGGGTTGGGAAATACCTGTAGATTTGAGGGGTAGAGCCTGGGGAGAGTTTAGGGTGTGGAGGGACTTCAGCAGGGTATAATGGAATAGAGTCCACTGCCCAAAACAGCCATTGTCTCCAGGAGAACTGATCTTGGTCATCTGGACATCAGTTGTAATAGCTGGGAAATTTTCTGTAGGTGAAATGATGTGCTGTGGCTGGGGAACACAGTGGTTTGTGGGAGATCTCCAGGCCCCACAGGGAGATTGGGGTATTTATTTTTCCTCAGGACTCCCAACAGCAAACTGTTTAGAATGTTAGAGGCAAAGGCCAATCAGGCCGCATATGCAAATGACCTCTGTGTTCTGACTGGCTATTGGGAGGAGAGGAAAAGCAAACTGTTTAGAATATTGGAGGCAAGACTCAGGCAACGCAGCCCGTGGATAGGGACAGCTTCTGAATGACAGATCACGGAGCCAAAGGCTGTGGGTGCCATGTGGAATGTTCAGCAACGTGCCACCACCAAATCAGCTTTATAATATAGGAGAGATAACTTTCTGTGTGTCCCACCCTGTGATAGAGAAG